GATATCATCTGGTAGTCCATAAAATCGATACACATTATCGAGAAAGAGTCTTGCTGTGACTTCACTGGACGATGTCTTCTTGCAAGAGATAAAATGCGCCATTTTTGTAAGCCGATCTACCACGACAAAGATGCTGTCAAATGAGTTCGATGATGGCAGGTCCGTGATGAAGTCCATGGAAATTGAAGACCATGGTTGACGTGGAATCGGCAATGGTTGTAGGAGTCTATAAAGGCAATGCCGAGGATTCTTGGATCTTAAACAGATGTCGCAGGAGAGGACAAAATCTTTCAAATCTTTCCACATTTGGGGCCACCAAAAATCTCAAGAAATAAGCTCCAAGGTCTTGTTGAATCCAAAATGTCCCGCAGCTGGAAAATCATGGGGAGATTGAAGAACTCGGAGTCGTATTAGTCCCTTTGGGATATATAACCGCTCTTCAAAATATAAAAGATCTCCCTCCACCTTGAACTTGTCGTCATTGGCACACTGCTTAATATCAATGGCTACTGAATCTTCAATGGTTACGGCATGTACCTGATTCAGGAAGTCAGCATTAATTGGCATAATAGTAGCGCAAAGCTGAAATTGCTCTGACTTCAACAATGTCGTACATTGTTGATCAAACGCTGCTTCTCCAGTCTTTGGTACAGGACACGATCTCCTCGATAAGGCATCAGATAGTCCTTGCTGCTTTCCAGGTCGATAAGTGATAATAAAATTGAACCTAGATAGCAACATATTCCATCGAGCTTGACGTCGATTTAGAACTCGAGCCGACATGAAATACTCCAAATTCTTGTGATCTGTGTATACGGTCACTGGATGTGCAGGTCCTTCAAGAAAGTGACGCCATTCTTGGAAAGAATCCACTATAGCAAGAAGTTCCTTATCGTGGATCTCATAATTGATTTCAGCAGCAGAGAACTTTCAAGAATAGAATGCAACCGGATGGAGCTTCTTGTCTTCTCCCATTTGTGAAAGTACAGCTCTCAAAGCAAAATCCGGAGCATCAGTTTCTAAATATAAGGCCTTTGTAAAGTCTGGATGTACCAAGATTGGAGCCGTAGTAAATGCGGTCTTCAGGTTTTGAAACGCCTTCTCTGCTAGAGGTTCCCATTCCAGCTTATCCTTGCATGTCAACCGAGTGAGAGGAGGAGCAACTTGAGAGTAATTCTTGATAAAGATCCGATAGAAGTTGGCAAAACCAAGAAAGCATTGTACGTCTCTAACCGTCTTCAGAACCTCCCAGGACACGATTGCTTCCACCTTCTTGGGGTCCATCTTTAAGCCTTCAGTAGTCGCAACGAACTCCAGAAACTCCATCTCTATTTGGTGAAATAAACACTTTTCCAACTTGGCATATAGTCCTCGCTCGTATAGTTTCTCTAAGACCAAACGAACGTGTTTTTCATGCTCTTCCTCATTTTTTGAAAATATCAAAATATCATCTAAATAGATGACAAAAAAATCGTCAAGGTACTCTCGAAAAATGTCATTCATCATATGTTGAAAGACCGCTGGAGCATTGGTAAGACCAAAGGGCATGACATTATATTCAAAATGGCCATACCTTGTACGGAACGCTGTCTTCCACTCATCTCCTTCCTTGATTCGTACGAGGTTATAAGCTCCCCTTAGATCAATTTTTGTAAAGATTCTTGCACGTCCAAGTTATTCTAAGAGACCAAAAATCAAGGGTAACGGGTAACGATTCTTCTTTGTTACCTTCTTGAAGCCTCGATAGTCCACGCACATCCGCAACGAGCCATCTTTCTTCTTCACAAATAAGATGGGTGCTCCAGGTGACGATTTTGAATGACGGATGAAGTTCTTGGCTAGATTCTCATCGATGTACTTCCGCAACTCCTCCAACTCCATCTACGATAGATTGTAGATTGGGCCAAAAGGCAATTGTGCTCCTTCCTGTAAGTCATATGGCGCAATCATATGGTCAGTGTTTCGGTAGCATGTCGGCATTTTTCTTTTGAAATACGTCTTAAAAATCCTTATATTGCTCCGGTATACTTGTTGTCGAGATCTTCTCCCAGGTAGTTGGAGCCGCATAAATGACAAATGGTGTGCCTCTATTAGACAATCTTATAAACGCTCTTACTCCAATAAATAAGGATTTCTCTATTCGGGGTTTTCTACTAGGCTTGCTCTTGGGTGGTTTTGTGGAAAAGGTCATCTTCCGCAACTTCCAATCTATGGATGGGTTATGCTTTTCCAACCAGGAAAGACCAAGAATAACATGATTTGATGGCATTCTAATAATATTCAAAATAATATGACTACTATAGTCCTTAAACGTCACTTCTATAGGTTCTGATTCATGGGTGACACTACTAGACAATAAAGGTCGTCCATATATGACCTCAACGTGAACAGGTTGGAATTTTTGTACTAAAGGGATCTTATGACGCTTCGTAAATTCTTCGTTTAAGAAACAAGCAGATGCTCCTGAATCTAATAATGCTAAGGTTCTCAATTTTTGAGGGCCAATAAGTAAAGGGATTGTAAAACAAAGGGCAGGTTGAGAGGAAAGAAAGGAACCTGGTTGTTGTTGTGATATTTCACTGTCCAGCCGCACGGTTCCTATTGTGGCTGGGCATCCTCGTTTTCCTAAATAAACGCGCCCCTAGTCTTGATAATACGTCGATTTTGCTTCTTGGGGCAGTTTTCAACTTTGTGGCCTTCTTCACCGCAATACAAGCATAGACCTTCCTCCATATGCCACTTTTTTTCTTCTAGAGTAAGAGATTTGACACGTATCGCATCAATTTACATGTCTTCTACCTCTGAATGTGAATTCACGCTGTTTGCCAACATAGTTGGGGTGTGGCGAACCGTATGTTGTCTTGAACGTTGGTCTTGGCGACGTTGGAATAGGCGGTTATCGCACTTCACAGCTTGGCTAATAGCTTTATTGAGCGTTTGCGGATCAGGAAGAGTTAACAGCAAATCCTTCACATCGTCCCTTAAACCCCAATAGAATTGACTCATGAACGCTTCTTCATTCCAATTGATATCGCATGCTAATTGCCTGAAGTTCGATGCATAGACTGATGTAGAACGCATCCCTTGTCGTAGTGACCGGATCTTTGTTGTAGCCCATCGAACCTTGTCGTGTTCACCAAATGCTTCCGCAAATGCCTCCAAAAAGGTTTCAAAGTTATTTAGTATGGACGATCGTTTCTCAAATAAAGAAGCAAACTATGATAGAGCTTGTCCTGTAAGTAAGGTTCCAACAAGCCCAACACGTGACTCCTCTGTTGGGTAGCGTTCGGGCTGTAAAGCTGTTATTAACTTGATTTGGTTGACGAATCCTCAAAACTTGGAACGCGTACCATCGAACTTGTCCGTAAGGCTAACTCAGGGTTTCTTATGTTGTAGAACCAGCGGTGCTTGTCGAACCTGAGGTAAAGTTGCTTCTCCAAGTGTAGAAATTTGAAGCTGGTGCAACCTAGATTGTGCCATCCCAGATGCTCCATCATTATGAAGCCTTGCCACGACTCCCTCAATCTCTGCAGTTCTTTGCGATAACATAGCGAGGGCATTCATGATAGCATATAACTTGGACTCTGAACTTTCCGTCATACTAATGTCTTGGCCCCCGACCATTCTAAAAGAAGGACAGAAATGACTCTACAAGAAGACAATATTGGTTTAGAAGAGGGTACTCCGCAACCTCTAAAATGCCTTAAGAGCTTCAAGAAAAGGGGTAATCCACTCTCTCCAAGAAGAATAAGACTCCAATATTGTAACAAAAGAAGTATCAGTTTAGAGGAGGGTAATCCGCAACCTCTAAAGTGCTAATACACTTCTAAGGAGAGGGGTAATCCACACTCTAACAAAGAAGAAACTAGCTCTGATATCTGAGGTGAGTGAAGTCTCGACAAACTGTCACGGACACAGAATACAGACTTGATATCTACCAAGAAGTTCAAGAAGAACTGGCAAGAACTAGATTAATCAGATGAATACAAGAACAACACCAGAGAGGTGAGCTAGAGCTCCAAGAGATGTGTTGTCGAGACTAAAGAACTCTTCACCCTCGATTCCAATATATACTCCTATTTAAGAAGCTTCTCAAGCAACTTCTACCAACTAGGAAGCTTCTAGAAGGTTCCAAAGACTTGCTTCTAGAAGGTTCTAGAAACTTATCTCTAGAAGGTTCTAAGGACTATGTCCCTAACATCTTCTACCAACTAAGAAGCTTCTAGAAGGTTCCAGAGACTTGCTTCTAGAAGCTTCTAGAAGCTTGTCTCTAGAAGGTTCTAGAAACTTGTCTCTAGAAGGTTCTAAGGACTATGTCCCCAACAAAATCCTCCATTTAGTTTATATATTTATATATATATATATATAAAAAAAATATTGTCATGCTTTGGATTGCTAGTCAATCCATTTATTCTACACAATTCTAATTACCTTCTATGAAAAGAAAAGAATCCAAAAACAATAAAGTTTGTCAAGTTGTGAAGAATGAAACTTGTTAAAAAAGACTACCAAATCTTCACCTCATGGTTGGTTGTTTAATCACACTACTCTAATGAATATATCATCAAAAAATCACCCCATAAAACAACCAAATGAAAAGAAAAAAAAAAACAGACTCCACTATAATGAATTCCGAATAATGAAGGGAACATGAAATGAGAAGAGCAAGACTAAATGAGAAAAGCAAAGGGAAAGAGAAAGGAAAGGAAAGGTGGGGGGATTACCATGAGACCCTGGGAACGAGGGGAGCGGAAAAAGATGAGATGCCGCGTGGTGCCAACTAGGCACTTTACCGATTCTTTCGGCCAGGGTGACCCATCCGACGTGGCAATGGATGACGAGGCACCGGGACTCCTCATGATCCATGAACTCCGTGCTACGGGGGTGGGGTTGGGCCTCCACCGCCTGTGTGAACGTAACCTCACCGCCTGTGTGAACGCAACCTCACCCCCAAGAAAGGGTAGAGCATGCTCCTAGATTCCAGCCCTGCCCTGTGGGATTACGTGTTCAGAGCAAATCCCTGGCTCTGGCTCCCTCGCCTTGCCTTGCTTGCCCTTGCCGTTGCCGTTGTCTTGTGGGGTGTGGGTTACTCTGTGTCTTGGGATTCTTCTGTGTGACTCCGCATCTCTTGCTCGATTTGGGTCGTCGACGCTGTTGCGCGGCAGAATTCGACGTAATTTTTTGTGAGTGGCAGTGAGATTTTGTCGCTGCAGCCATGAGCGACACAGCCAGCGGCAACGACTGGGAGCTTGTGAGTGAAGGGCTTTCTTCTCACCCCTCTTCGGCGTCCAGTTCTAGCGATGCGGGTGCTGATGGGGCGGTTGAGAGAGGTGCGGAGGGAGGCGGTGAAGAGGGTGCTCATGATGGTAACTGATCGTACTCCTGGTTTTTAAAAAGATTTTTTTTTTCTTCGTTGTGGGTTTGTGGGATTGTGGACGGCGTGTTTCTTTTTCTTTTTTGGTTTTGCGTTTGAAGGGGAGAATGCGGTGGATTTGTGATGGTGTGGTTCGTGCAGAGGTTTTCTTTTAGGAGGGAGGTTTCTGAGGAGAGGTTGTGTGATTTTGTGGGTCTCTAGGTTGAGCGAAACTTGGGTGATTGGGGTTGATGCAGGGATAGGGACTGTAGATTCGGGTGTAGGCTCTGGTTATTTCCTTTGTAACCCATCCACTCCCTCCCTGCCCTTGGAGTTTCTTGGTGTCGGTGAAGTGGAGCAGTTTGATGTGATGAAACCTACTGGGGTGCCATCTGAGGCGCCGTCCGATGATTCCTTTACCGTGGAGGATGCAAAGAGAAAACAGGTTGAGGAGCTCGATTTTTCGCGTGGCATTCTGATGCCCGACAGCTGTACTACGCAACTTCATGAATTATCCAAATTGGATTGGATGGAGCCGAGGCCTCCAGGTCGGTTTAACCATCATCATCTTGAATTTGCTTTTTATCTCGAGCATGTTGTTCACGATTGGGTTGTATTTCTTTTTCTTCTTCGTTTTTACTGCCGCGATATTGTCCAGAGCCGAGGCACACAGGTCGGCTAAACTACTCCATCCTTCATTTTGGCCATTCGAAGCTGATAAGTTTTTGCTTCTTTTTCGTAGTTGGGTCTTAATTTTATGGAGTTTTAAAAGGGAGCTTATCAACCACACACTAACCTTCATCTCTGCCCTAGTTTTTAGCTCCTCTCGCATTCATTTCTGCAGTTCAGAGATGGAATGTTTTGGTGAGGGGGCTTATCAACGTTGAAGTTTATATTTGAATGCAAAAGGAGCTTAAAACGAATCCTAAACTTCTAAACTGTAAACGTTCATTGCAATTAAGGCAGAAGAAGTATTGCATCAATTCTAGTGCCCTTTTGAGTATTTTGAGATGCTTTGAAGTATCCAGTAATGAATTCAAGAAACCGGAATTTAGGCAAGCATGGAAAAAATTAGGGTTTATATGGTGGCTGAAGCTTTACCAGGCCATTACGCTGAATTGGTTAAGTTATGGAATGAACCTAATAATGAATTGGCTGAGAATTTTTTCAACTTACTGGCCGAACCTCATATGCTTCATTCGCATTAAAGTCAGCAACCGAGAGAAAAAGTACAGCTCATCAGGTGATTGCGCTACATGAGGTTGGGTCCAAGCCTCACTGATGACCAGTAATTCACTAGTTAAATCCTCGGATCTATCTCATGTGGCTATCCCGTCTTTGATGGTAATGGAAATGAAGGACCTAACTATGTTGTGTTTTTAGGCGCAGGGAATCAGCTTCTAGAATTCGAAGGTAGTGAACTTGGAAGTACAAGCAATCCAGACGTATTTGCTCCAGAGATCAAGGCCAGGATGGAACGTGAATTACATCAAGTAGGTCCATTATTAGGTTCATGCATGTCTGCTCCATCCTCTCCAACCATTGTCAGTCGGGACAATTCGTTTCGGCTTAGTCTCAGTGATGAGATGGTAGGTCGTGTCATTGGCGGTGATGATACTTCTCAGCGTGGGTGTTCTATAGAAGTGGAGCCAGATACATTAGCAGCTGTAGAGCATGAGATGCTCTTGGCACACTCGGCTTTCATATCTCCAGACTCAGTTGCTGGTGAGATTTTGGCACGTGTCAGCTTTGTTGTTGTTATCTAGAATTTTTTTAAGTTATGAGGAGGTCTCTGGACTCAAATTAGTATTTAAGGCTCGAGATAGAATCATATTCAACAATACTGAAGTTCGAGGCAGTATCCCAGTTTAGATTTGAGTGAAATAATTGCTCACTCTAGAATTTCTGCTTCGCCACTTCAATCCTTTGCATGTGGATAAATCCAACCTAGTTATGATAGATCCATATCATCTCTCTAGAGCTCTTAGTTAGATGCTTTTATTCATTTTTATTTTCTATTTTTCTGATCTGTGTTATCTGATAGATATGAATAAGATTGGGGTTTCAAGTAAAGAGAGCTCAGCATCTGCCCTTGAAGATGAGCATGCTGTTGAAACCTGGTGGAATAAACCAGTGCACGGTCGACAAGCGAGCACATATTGGTCCTTTGCCTTAGCTGCGGCTGTGATGGGCCTTGTTATCCTGGGTCATCGATGGCAGTATGAACGACGTCAAAATCACCAGCTTCGTTTACGTCTCATCGCAAAAGAAGAGGTATGTTCTTTGATTTCGTTTTTCTCATCATCTTGATTTGGATAAATTTTCAGGGCAACCACTTTTCTTACCATTGGTGATAAGTTTCTTATCCTGCAATTAGCCTTATCGTTAATGATAAATTTCTAGGGTTAGCTTTATTCCCTTTGCTGTAGATCAGCTAGATATAACGTCTCATGAACGTTTCATATGCAAATCATACTCTATCATCTTGCATAAATTTGATGCATGACTGGCCGCTGCCTCACTGGTTGCTGAGTTCCTCTTGTACTTCTGTACAAAGCGCGGAACCAATCTCCTGAGTGCTCCACAATTCAAAGCTTCAATTTGTCATAGATTAGCCATCTGCATATTATGAAGTCCTGTGTGCAATATAGTTCCCTGCACTTTGAAACTGATGAAGTATATACCTTTGCTCATTCCCTTCACTCAGGGTTAGAAAGTTGGACAGGTATAAGTATTGTTCAGGGTTACCGTCACACTCCATGATCTTGGAGTGTGACGGTACATCTTGTATGTAAAGTACAACACTCTCATTGTCGACACAGCTTGAAGCTCTTACAACCGACGCAGGTTCTAAGACAGAGTATGAGTTATTTGGAGCTATATTGTAGGTCAATATTCTTTAGTTACTGATACTCGTCGGGAATTCTTGATTTTGGCATTGCCTTGAACATCTATCAGATGCTTTAAAACTACACCATGAGTACATCTATTATGTCATGACAACATTTTGGTCGAAGTTAACCAGTTTCGTGTTTTCGAATTGCAGAAAATTGGTCAACTTGTACTGCAACTAGCTCGCTTGAAGGAAGCATTGTCAGGTCGCCGGCGGGTGCCCGTTCTGCGCTCCGGCTCCTATCTCAATGACTCGTTTGACCGCTATTAAACTGGGTCACTTCCTGATCTTCACGTGCTTATTTGTGTGAGTTATTTGGAAGGTAATGATGCGAAAACAGGTATCTTTTTTGCATCTCTTGCATGCATCTTTTCTGTGAAGATCTTTTGTAAATACTGTTGAATATTAGGATAAAAGGTTGAAAAAATTAGGTGGCTGAAATGTTCAGAACTTCAGGAGTGGAACAGTGCTTAGTGTGTCAAGTAGATATTGTACCTCATGGTTTCCACCAGCTTTGGGATCTTGTGAGCTATTCATATGACGTCTTTCTCATGCACGATTCTATTATCTTCTTTACACCAACTAATACGATTGTGTGTGCCATGTAGTATGTGGACACATATATGTTAAGGTTGTTGCTTATACTTTGGTTTACTTAAAACAAGACATTTCTGCATAGACAATGTGAGCTTAGCAAGCTTGGTTTGGGCTGTGTGGTCTTGGCATGTATAAAGCTGAAGTTCCAGACATAGTTATTACCTGGAATGTATCTGCTGATCATTTAACATTTGTGTGAACTTTTAAATCCTTGATTACTCTTAACTTATTCTTGACCTCCTGAAGTCGCAGAGCAGTGTATGAAATCGTTTGAATTTGTCTTAGTCACAATTTTAAAAAACCCAATTTAAAATTTAAACCCAATTGCTTGATAGTAATATCAAATCTTGTCTAATGAATTTATATTTTATTTTTTAAAAGAATATGCTTATCTATATTTTTCAAATTGAAAATTAAAAATTTGATTTCTGTTAATTTCTATGCCGCTTATTTTATAAAATCATTTAGATCAATGTAAATAGTCATAAGTTTATTTACTTTAATTTAAAGGCGTATTATCAATACTAACATTATTTTATAATTTTTAAACCTCATGTTGTACATATTACTCATTTTTTCCTTGAACTTGTTAAATTATAGATTTTACATATCATTACAAGTTATCACCTTCACAAAAAAAAAAAAAAAAAAAAAAAAAAGGTATGTCTTGTATTATTCCTAATGCAACATTATAAATGTATTCATTGTCTTAAGTAAGATTAATATTCCAACAACGTATGTGTTATTTCAGTTTAAGTCTCTTTTTTTTTCAGAAGAAAAAGAAAAAAGGTACTGCCAGTGCCACCGCAATCCCACACAAATTTCGGTTAAATAATATATCGACCAGGTGGCGGTGGCAACAGCAAAAAACCGTGGTGGCAAAGAAACACACGCTTTGCCTGGCAACACTGGACAACTGACAACCCCTCCCTCTCACGGTTACACCCCACCCCCGTCCTCTCCGCACGGTCTCACGACCCACATAAAAACTGTGCCCCGAAAGGCGCGGGTGTGGAAGACCGCGGCACACCCCAGCCCTAAGCCGCATGGTCGATATCAACGACAGAGACGAAGTGTGGGTGAGGCGCGGGGGGCCGGTGACCGCACACAGGGAGCATGGATGAATGAATAACTAGATGGATGTATCTTGGATGAATTGTTTCAGTCTGTCAGTCAGGCCAGGCTCTCTCGCCTGCCCTGCTCGCAGCAGCAGCAGTCTAGTTAGCCCTGGACACACACACTCTCCCACACACACTCACAGTCTGTCTGTCTGACAGTGTCGTCTTCCTCGCCCCCCTCTTCTCTTTCTCTCTCTCTGTCTTTAGGAAGGGGAAGAGGAAGTGGGGGGGGGGAGTAAGTAAGTGAGTCTTGATGGCATCAGCTCCTCCTCCTCCTCCTCTTTCCTTTTCATACATGTCATTGCAACCCCCTCTTCTCTTCTCTCCTCTCCTCTCATCTGTTGTCTCCCTCTTTCCTCTGTAGCTACCCCAGCTGTCTCATCCTTCCTTCTTCACTCTCTGCTTCTTCTCCCTCACGCTTCTGGTAGCCGTTCGGGGTTGTGGTTCAGCATTGCCCTCTCCTTCTTCCATACGTAGTAGTAGTAGTAGTAGTAGTAGTGTCTTCTAGGTTTCTCTTTCTGCATGTTAAGAGCCACCTTTGTAAAAGGCTTTATTTTTAGTTTGATACTCGAGACAGGTGGAAAAGAGAGACTGGGCGATATGTAGGTTGTAGTGGGTCGTAGGTGGGGTTAAAGTAGGGAGGAGCTGGGTGATAATTGTAAATGGGTGTTGGTTTCGAGTGGGTATTTTAGGTTATGATTCTGGTGCTTTCTTTCTTTTTGTTTGTTTGTTTATTTGTTTTGTGTGGAGTGAGTTTGGGTATATGGGTGTTGTGTGTTGGAATAGATGGGAGGATCCTTCGGAAAGGTAGTGTTGATGAGGGCGGTGTGTGTCCCATCAATCGTGAGGGTGCTGATGAGTTGTGGTGTCATGATCCGCAGCGTCTGCGATGGTTGCTGAGGTTGTTGAAGCTTTAAGCAATTCATGTGCGTGACACATGGAATCTTTTGTGAAAGCTATGGCAGGAGGTAAGTTTAGGCGGGCCGTTGCTTGCCTTTGGAGAGTGGTATTGGTAGCGACGTTCTTGGGAGGTATGGTAGCAGGGGATCCAGCTGGAGATAGAGCAGTGTTATTGGAGTTTAAGGCAGGCATAACGAACAGCGATGTGCTTGGATGGACGGATCCCAATCCGTGTTTGTGGAATGCAAAGATGGTTAAATGCGACGCAGCTGGAAATGTGGTGCAGCTTCGAGTACGGGAACTGGGGCTGACGGGTACAGTTACTCCCAAACTGAACAGTCTTTCGTCCCTTGAGTATCTTGAACTCAACCTCAATTTCTTCACCGGAGCCATGCCCTCTCTCGCTGGGCTGTCCCGGTTGCAGTACGCTTATCTTGATGACAACAGCTTCACATCCATTCCTCCCGATATTTTCGACGGCTTGACCTCCATCATTGAGCTTCACGTTGAAAACAACGTAGACTTGAATTCACCAGATGGCTGGTCTATCCCGGAGAGCATTGCGTCTTTGAGCACTCTTTCCGTGCTCGCCGTTACCAATGCTAGCGTCACAGGTCCTCTTCCTTCCTTTCTTGGCACCATGCCGGCCCTCAAGACGCTGGAGGCCGCTTACAATCGGCTTGAGGGTGGAATCCCTGACTCTTTCCAGAAATCCAGCATAACAACTCTCAAACTTAACAATCAGGGTATGAATGGCAGCATCGCCGCCATTGGTGGCATGACCGGCGCTCGAATCCTGTGGGTGCACGTTAACAAAATGACTGGTCCGGTGCCGGCTGGGCTGGAAGGCGCCGCGGGTCTGACAAGTCTCCGCATCAACGACAACCAGCTCGTAGGAAGGCTACCACCTGGTCTTGCCAGCATTCCTTCTTTATCCGAATGCCTGATGAAAAACAACCATCTTTCGGGTGAATCTCCTGCTTTCCAGCCCGGTGTGTTGACCAATTCTGATGCTGACACCTTCTGCGGCGCAGCAGGAGTGCCATGTTCGGCCAAAGTGAACTATCTGTTAGACTTCTTGGAAGCAGCAGGATACCCTCAACAAGTGGCTGTATCATGGGTTGGTCCAGATCCTTGTACAGGACCGTGGATTGGTGTTGCCTGCGATCCAACTTCTGGTGAAATTGTTTCAATCACTCTTCCGAATTACAAACTGACGGGCACTATCTCGCCGTCTCTTGGCAATTTGACCTACTTGAGGTCTTTAAATCTGGCTACAAACGCCCTCACTGGGACGGTTCCTTCAGAGTTGACCAAGATTCCATCCCTCACAAGCGTGGATGTCAGTGATAACAATCTATCCGCTCCCTTGCCTCTGTTTCCCTCAAGTGTAACATTTAAATATGCCGGCAATCCTCTCATTGTGGGGGCAATGCAACCCCCAGTTGCTGGAACTCCACCAGCTCCGCAAACCCCGACTGCACCAACTCCGGGTGCGAATCCCACCCCTGCCGGAGTGATCCCACCCTCCGGAAACGGAACAACTGCAGGGCCGATCTCGCACAAATCCATGTCTGTAGTATTGGTTGTAGTAGTGGTCGCTGCTGGGATAGTAACGGCCGTGGCTGCTGCCATTATAATCTTCTTTTTGGTGAAAAGGAAGAAGAAGAAATTACAAGCTGTGAATGGGATGTCTGTATATCCTCGAGTGGACTCCGGATCCGATCGCGATTTGAAGGTTATGGAGAGTAACAACAGCAGCGCTAGTCATCAAGCTACTGTGAGCTCATATGGAACTTTGAGTGGCGCAGGGGATAGTCTCCAAAGCAGCAGCCCTTCAGTTGACCATCAGGTGATTTATCTTGAAAAGATCTCACAGTTTTCTGCATTGGAAATCTTGGAAATTCTATTGGATTTAGAAGAGATCTGCACTGGCAGGTTGGACTGAAGTGTGGTATTGTGAATGTGCGAAAAGGCTTTGGAGCAGGGCAACATGTTCATGTCTATCGAAGTGCTTAGGGCGGTCACAAACAACTTTTCGGAGGACAATATCCTCGGTCGGGGAGGGTTTGGGGTAGTTTACAGAGGAGAACTCCAAGATGGGACACAAATTGCCGTGAAAAGAATGCAAGCAGGTGTAGTCAGCAACAAAGGCTTGTGTGAATTTCAATCGGAAATTACAGTCTTGACAAAAGTGAAACATCGGCATCTAGTGGGTCTGTTAGGTTATTGTGCGAATGGCAATGAAAGGCTTCTCGTTTATGAGTACATGCCGCAGGGCACACTAGCTCAGCATCTCTTTGAATATCGGCAGTTGCAAGAGAAGCCGCTTTCCTGGATGATGAGATTGAGCATTGGTCTGGATGTAGCTCGAGGTTTGGAATATCTCCATAATTTAGCGCACAGGAGCTTCATTCACAGGGATTTGAAACCTTCGAATATACTATTAACGGAAGACTTCCGAGCAAAAGTGTCGGACTTTGGTCTAGTCAAACTAGCTCCAGAAGGAAATTACTCTGTGGAGACGAGGCTAGCAGGAACGTTTGGTTACTTGGCTCCTGAATATGCAGGTAACTCATGAGGCCATTTTGAGATTTGGTCCTTGCCGGAAATGCAATGTTAACTTCGCATAGTAGTTCATTAGCGTACGCATTTACATTTTTTTTTTTGCTGATACGTTACTGACTCTAACATTTTCCTCACTCCTTCCAAGCGTAGTTACTGGCAGAGTTACGACCAAGGCGGACGTTTTCAGTTTCGGGGTAGTTTTGATGGAGCTTATAACAGGTCGTCGAGCTCTAGATGAGACTCAGGCAGAGGAGAACGTGCATCTGGTGACGTGGTTTCAGCGTATGATGCACGTGAACAAGGATAATCTCCGTTCCGCGGTTGACCCTACCATCGACGCAGGGGACGACGACACTTACAAGACCATCTGCACTGTTGCAGAGCTTGCAGGCTACTGCACTTCTCGTGAGCCAAGCTCACGTCCTGACATGAGCTATGCAGTTAGCGTGCTCACGCCGTTAGTGGAGCAATGGAAGCCCACGTTCCATGGACACGATGGGGCATGTAATTCTAGTGAAGACTTGGAGCTCTCTCTACCCCAAGCTTTGAAGCAGTGGCAGGAGTACGAAGGCGATTCAACTATGAGCCAACGCTTAGACGACACGAAGGGTAGTATTCCTGTTCGACCAGTGGGCTTTGCAGACTCCTTCACCTCGACAGATGGTCGATAATGCAGTTCTTCTCCTCCGTATTCAAATCTTGGATTGCCCCCTCCCTTGTACCGACAAGTGCTTTCCGATGAACGAATGTGGAGAACCGGCAATTAGTGCAAAATCAGCCGAGCTAATTTTGCGAACCGGTGATTCAAGATTGAATTATTAGGGAGGAAACTCAATGTATTCTCTTAAATAAAAAACTAAAAGCAGTAAAATCCGGAGCAACAATCGAGACATAGCGACGGACTGCCAGTTGATTATGGGAAAGCAAAGGATCTTAGCTGAATTCACCTAAATTTTTTCCAGTCCCTTGCTTCCGCTACGCGACGGCTCATAGGATCCGCAGACCAACCACAGACCTCCAACGCCTAGCAAAAACTTACAGGTCCCCACGTCGACTGATATGCTCGGAGAACGTGGGATGGAATGAAAATAAATCCCATTGACAGGACCACAACCTTATTCGTCGTCCTAGACCTCGTTCAGGAGTTAGGTCTGCTGATGAAGGCTCAAATCAGCCAGGTTTTTTCGCGGGTACCCTGGCACTTAACGAAGGCGATACAACCATGTAATTGTCTAATGTTCACAGTGATGCATTTCGGGGAGCCCTCGGTTTTGGCAACTTCCGAACACTTTGTATATATACACTCTCTAGTTGATACCGTTGTACCCCTCTCCCTCCTTAAATGTTAGTCTCAGGAAAACACATAAAAGTAACCTTTTTCTTTGTTTTAGGATATCTTAAATTGCAGTTTTACGTGGCTGTTAAAAAAAAAAGATGGAATAAAATTCAAAATTGCATACTACAGAATACGTATCCACCAGAATACCCAGATCCACTTCTTCTCTGTATCCAATTTGCTTCATAACTGAGGTGAAAAGAAATTCATTTGCTCTCTATGCTAACAATTTTATCTTATTTGACAACAAAAAAACAAAATTGTAATAACAAGTACCAACTCCCAGAAGTGTTACATTTGAGAAGACAACTGTAGATCCAATCCTGAGTATGAAGAGTTTCAAAACGATTGCTCCTCAAGAGGTCATATGCATCATCTTGCCGATTAAAATTTGTGTGTGCAATCTCACATTTATAGTTGTACAAATTCTGCATGCCACTGTAGTTTCAAGGTGAGCCGATTATCTGCAGTGAGCTAGCTAAGAGATTTAATCTCTAGCACCTGAATTTGGGGTCATCTGCAAGGGGTTGTTTAGCATCTAAATCTGGGCAAGTTATGAAAGAAACGACCAGTTTATCATCAGCTCCTGAAGCCGTTCCAAGCAAGTCTATCTAGTTGCCAGATCAATAGAGTGGCAACTATTCAGCACATTTCACAGAATAATCAGGAGAGAAGCCCTTGAACCATTCCTTCCTGTGTTTTTTGGTGTTGGCTTCGAATCAACTATAATGGGGTTGATTGTGATTGACATCCTCGACACACACAAGGCTGCTGTAAGAAAGAAAAAAAGCCGCAGTTGCAGGTATGAATCTGTGTCCCCCCCCCTTGTCCCTGATGAACCCAAATTAAGGTTGCATTCTGATATACACAACGAGCAATTCTGTTTTATTTATTTTATGAATTCTTCTTCTTTCCTTATAAAGGGTTTTGTACCAGTTTGGGCGTTGTGGGGGGGGGGGGGGGGGTCAGAAAGATGATTGTGATGGAATCCTGACACCCCAACAGATGCAGCCATCTCATCCCATGCTCCTTGCCAGGCACGAGGACAAGCCTAGATGCTCCAGCATGTAAGTACTGGAACCCTAACCTCCCTTCTCCTCCTCTCCCCTCCACTCCACTCCCATTCTACTCCACAAGGATGTGGATGTGGCTACAACACATTCAGTAAGTAGGTGATGCAGGCGGGTCTCCAACCCCTGCAAAATTTGACAGGGCTGCAGGGCCCTTTTTTCTGCAGATCTCCCCAGTTGACGCCTCCCGGTAGGTGCTCAACTGTATCGGTATGAGAATTGCCCCCACAGTACACACACTCCCCCACCACCTCCATGCATGACTCTTGCAGATTCCAGGCTGTGTGCCCCTTTCCAGCATTTATGTTTTCTGTTTCTGAATCCTGCGTTTATATTCTCTCCCTTTTCCATAATGCATTTCCATTCATTTACTCATTCATTTCTTGTTCCTACCTATGCTTCACATGATCTATACTGTGACTGAATGTGGAACAATTGTGTTCAGAAGTGAGTTTTGCCCCTGTTTATAGGGTTACAAGAGTGAGAGCACCCACTGTTTCTGGAGTAGTGGGAAATGGGTCTGAACTTGTTCACATCTAAGCTGATTGCACTTCAACCAAGTGGGTGATTTAATGCAATAAAGAGTCAGTGACTATTGACTGCCTTCTACACTGCACGGAAAAAGGCAATATTGTAATACTACCTTCATTTTTGACAAGCCAGTTCTGTCACTAATGTGATAGGATTTACTATGTGAATGGGTTTTTATGGCAAGAAATGCAAAAGTGTAAGTAAAACGTTCAATTGTGCTGAGAACGTCTCTGTACTTAGGGGAGAGGTGAGAGGCCAAAACTCTTAATTCTTTTGATTGGCTAATTTCCATACACTTATATATCTCAGTCAATCAAAGGATTTCAAAGTTGTGGCCCCTCACTTTGTCTCCAAAGTATAAAGACCTTCTAAGCTGTATGGCAATTATTGAGTGTTTTTTTTTCAAATGTAGCTTAATCTATGGATGATAGTTTAAACAATTGCAAGAGTAGTTGGGAAATTTTCTTAGATTAGTCCAACAATTTCATTTCTTTTTTCTTTTTTAAAATAATAATTTGTTTGTATTGCACATGGGATACAGTAATTTTGTATAAGTTCTTTTTTAGCATTGCAATTTTGCAGTAGTCTCAAATTCATGATATTCAAATTTTACAAAAACTTGCACCATGTGGTAATTATGAGATAGGTTGAAAAACTTGTATACAAATCCTATCATTTGTACCTAATCAATTTTTTATATTTATTATCTTTTAAATCATTCATGGCATATGATATCATTTAACTATGGTTTTTTTTAAATAAATTCCTAATTATAGCTCATTATATATAATTATATTCTTTTTTTATTGGTTGTAAGAATTTCTATTTCTAGAACATCTATCATATATATATATATATATATATATATATATAAAGATTAAATTAATTCTTAAAGATATTATATTATAAATTAAAATAGAATTATAAAAAAATATTAATTTTAATTTTATTAACTTAAAATTGTAATTATAAAATTTATACAAAGCATGTTTTTAGTACTTTAGTCATACAAGAGTATAATTACTTTTGATATTTGAAGCTTTTTATTAAAAAGTTAGCATAACTAAACAAATCATTTTTATAATGTCTATAAATAAGTGATTTAATAAATGGTTGTAAAACTAAATTATAATTATGTTTTGTGAATTTTAATGTCTTCAATTGCTTTCATATTTGCACCTATATTTTGTCTAGTACTAATATTTACACTACAAAATTATTTCTACACAGATTATAAAATATACAAAGATAATTGTATACATAAACATTTAAAATAAAATATTAATTTAGAATATTTAGTATAAATTAAATGATCTAAATTACCTAAATACTTAAGTTTTAAAAAAGAATAAATAATTATCAACTTGTGCAAATTTTTAATTACTTTATTAAATTATAAATTTAAAAAAAACAATTTTTTAATATTTTAAATCTTATTTAAATTATCTAATTATTAATTATTGAACCTAATGTTTTATAATATAAACTAATAAATACATAAAAATTATAGTCAAGGAATAGATATCCAAATAAAATATGTCAAAAAATGGCATATAGTACAATCATCATGGAAAGCTACAAGATAGTTCAAATACCACAAGAAGAAAAACAACTGCAACAGTAATTGACAAGACTAAAAATGATCTAAACCATGCTATTAATTATAACAACTAACAATATTGGTTAATCACTAATATACAGAAATGCACTAGTTCATACAAATTTGATATTTCATATGTTTAGAATGTATGATAATATGTATTAAAAGATAAATTAATGATTATATAGATTACAATAGAAGATTTTGTACAATTATACTAACACAACCCAAAAGACCATTTTATCTTAATTTTAAATTTTCTTATAAAAAATTTATTTTGTAAGTTATTATTTAAAAAAAATAGGAGCATAAGTATAAACGCACTAATAATTGTGCATAGAAATTGCATAGAAATATTGCATAGAAATAATATAAGCACATAGAAATTGCAAAATTCTTTTTGATCATAGATTAAATTAGTAGAATCATTTAGTAAGTGTCACAAATTGACAATAAATGTATTTGTATTTAAAACGTTCTTTAGCTCAGTACACCAATAAATTTCATAATAAAATACTACAAGAACTTAAGGATGAAATAAATAATTCATAAACCAACACAAATCAGATAATGTAAAAACCAAAATTCATTGTAAAGAAAATTATTTAAATTTTGAAAATTGGACTTAGATGATACAAAATAATAACATTGCAGAATCTATAATTTGTTACAATCAACTCTAGAATATGTTAACAATGAGCACAGATAAACCTATCTTGTTTACAAAAAGAATTTAATATAGTTGGTACCAACTCGAAGTCAGTTAGATACAATTGCAAATGTGATTATCAATGATTATGCTAACATATGTAAGCAACAAGTGGTATTGTTTTCATGAGTTGTGGTTCTTTGATCCACTTCATAGCAAGACATCCACATTTGAAAATGATGATACACACCTCAGGTGTAAATGTTTGAACTCAAAGATTATTCTTATTGATAAAAACAGTTCCATATGCATGAGAAACCCCGACAATCACACTACAAGCATGTAAAAAATAACTTAACATTGTTAATAATGTAGTTGAATACAGATCATAAATTGACACAACTCACTCATGGTTGTACTTGCACCAATTCATCTCGCATTTACAAAGCTAACTCCTTATGGTAGGCATTTATTTTTATCATTATTGAATGTCGGTTGCATTTCAGTCATCCGGCAGTTGAAGAAGGAATAACAAGTTGCTTGATCAGTGAGTACGTCCATCAATGGAAGCATGAAATGAATATACAGAGAGTACAATAAACAGTGCGCAAGGGACTGATTGAAAGATTTTTATGTGGGTGGTGTTGCAAAACACCGTGGACAGAACTAATGAAGATCAAACGAGGCTTGGATCACTAGACAGTTCGCTCTCTCTTTCCTGATTAGTTCTGCTTCCTGCGACTTGTTCAACTGAACCTCTCTAGGTATTGAATGAAGTTCCTGAATCGTAACAGCATGCGCCAGACTGTCGAGCAATCAAAGCTAACCCAAATTTGTACAAGTGGCGAGTCCTTCCACAAGGAAAGAAAACGTTGATTTGAAGTAGGATAACTAACGCGACCATCAGCACCTAGGAAAGCAATTCTGGGAAAATGGAGGGATTGGACATGTGCTGTACCAAAACCAAAATTGCGTGGATCATGAAGGCTTTGGATCAAGGTGACTCAAAGCAGGATGAATCCAATTTGTCATGGTGCGATTTGCCATCTACAGAGGAATTGAGGCTTAGAAAAATCCACTCATGGCTTTCTCCAGCTCCTTCACTTTAGTGATTAAGAGATCACGATCCTTCTGAAGCTGTGTAACGGTTAGCTCGCGCTCCTCTTCAGCACCTTCTAACTCTTCTAACATCTGTCGAATGTATTCAATTTCCTCCTCTTCTTCAGCGAGAGTCATCGCCTTCCGAATCAATGACCGTACCTGCCATTGCCAACTCAAAAAAGACAACCAAAACTCAGATTTGCAACTAGTTTCGCACTATACTATCCCTGCCTACGCAACTCACTTTTCAGTCCATGAAAACCCACTTTAGTAAAAGAAAATATGAAGTAAATTACAAACCATGCCAGCACTTCTCTGAAGTCTCGCATTGCCACTGAAGTTCGAGGACGCTATGAGCTTGGGCTGCTCTTCAGAAGCGGCCTTCAGATGCCTCTCGGGCACTCTACGAGTCACTTGAAAGTGAATTTCGCCCTTGTTTACACCTTGCAATGGTAGCCATTGATCTAACGTCTGATTAGGTGGTAATTTATCATAATCTACCTCACAGTGGCCTATGCTGACGGTGGGGAGAATGTTATTGTAGTCTTTCACATGAAGAACTAAAGGACTACCATCATCCGTAAATTCGAGTGTTTGGCCCCAGGCTGGATTTAAAGTTTTGTAGACAACCTGCACAGATTAAAGGAATATCATGAATAAAAGACTGAGCATAAACTCAGAACATATTAGGTCAAACCAACGAAAACGGATACAATAAAATGAATTTAAAGATCCGAACATATTGGAGAAGAGCAATCATCAATTGTCTTGAGAAAACTAAGGAAAGAAATCGTTACCTTGGTACGTTTTTTGATTTGGCCGTAACGAACACTAACATAAGGATCACTGGTTCCTCCCCAATTAGCTGCTACAAGATCTCGAGCCTCAACAAGGACAACCTCTACCATGCACCCATCTCCAGTTGGATGTGATCCATTCTCAGAACCATTCTACATGAAGCCAAATAACAAGAGGCAAAGTCAATTTCATCGTCGATTAATACGTAACAAACACTAGTGTGGAGGAGACGGAAGAATATAAAAATATGCTCATCGTGTGACCAGCAGTGATGACCAGAATGCGTCAAAGAACCCTAGAAAAGGATTACAATAGGCGTAAAGAAACCTACCGTAGAAGGATTCTGCAATAACTCAGAGGCAACAACTTCGATTCTAAGGTGGATTTCTCCTTGATTAATCTTTTCCAAAGGTACCCACACATCTTTAGGGGCTCCCTCCTCGATTCCTTCCAAATTTACTCGCGCATTTCCCAAATTCTCGTCGCCAAAGCGGTCAGCATCGTAACACTTGATTTTAAGATACTCTCCACCGCTTACTTCCTGAAATATAAAATCTTGATTCCACACAGGATTCAGGTCCTGATTTACGGTCTTCGTTTTGCGAATAAGCTGTAGCAAGGATATGAAACCAATCAGTGCCTGAGAGAAAACCGACATAGATTTCTGAACTCAATGCTTCTGAACAGAACAGATATCTCACTGAAATTGCAGTATAAGGGTTCAAAATTCAGCGATTTCAATAATGCCTTGCTAGAAAACTTGGCATGACCAAACCCAACAAAATGCACGTACCTTGCCATAAAACAGCTTAAGATAAGGGTCACTTTTGCCAGTCCTATCCATCGGAGCCAGATTTCGGCCTTCGATCGCAGAAATTTTGAGCTTTCTGCCAGTAAAAGTTGGTTGAACTGGTTGAGTACCCACCGCATTTTGCTGGTCATGAATCACAAGAGCAGGATTGTAATTTGCCACTGCTTTTGAGCCATCAGAAAATTGCCATTCCTTAAGTAATAGCTTCACGGTCAGCTGCAACACATTAATTAAGCTAATTAGCCAAAACGAGTTGGTTTCATTCGTGGTCTGCACAAAAATTTGCGAGCTCCTGCTCATTGACAAATCAAGAGGTGGTTTCGAGAACATAAATGCAGAGACAAAAGCTCAGAACCCGGCCTTAATCTAACACAAAAATGAATTAACAATCCCAAATCACCAAATTTGCAACGTAACACAATTGTCTATCCGAACACGTTCCAAAGCGGTTGAGCACACTTTGCAGAGCCATTCCTTAGAAATACCTCATAGAAAATATGTCCAAAGTAGAATAAAACCATGAGCGAGAACTAAAACCAAAGGCAATGAATTATAACAAAGATACTTAACAAAGCAGAAAATCCAACCAACTGTACCTCTCCAGAGGTCGCGTTTTCAAGAGGGATCGTCAGCTCGACTTCTTTTCCGCAACACGGGACTCGAGAAATGAGAACACTCTGTGCTGGACCCACAGCCCAGAAGATAGTGGAGTCATCGTCGACATACTTCACCTGACAATTGAAAACCCCATAACATAGTCATGTGGCTATATCTTGAACAAACAAATGCAGTCAAATGTCAATACATCCCCTCACCCTCTACAGTGTTGACACCACATCCAGTAAACAAGCAGCACTTAGTGGATGTGCAATCGAATTCAATCAGACTTTGTGGCATAAGGAAATATAAAGTATGCACTGACTGCATGTCTATTTCAATTCTGCATAGATATGCCATGGCAAGAAAAACAGGTCAAAGTGCCGAAGTCTCTGGTTCAAATGCAAGACAATTTATAAACAAAAATAAATTAATTTAACAGGGTTTTGAAAGGAGGTGGGAACTTACCTTAACCTCACAGCTTCCAAGAAAGTCATAATTCACGTTATTATGGCCTTGCTCATACACATTCAGGCGTACAGTACCCAGGTTGTCATGCAAGACCATATCGTAAGACTCGTTCCACACGTGGAGAAAAGGACCACTTTGCATGCCTGTCTTGCGAGTCAAATCCTCACACGAAATCTCCACAAACCTGGATTTTTCAGACTTTTTATTCACAGATCCATTACTGCCGAGGCTGCCCTCATTGCTACTCGCATGGTTACTTCCATCACCGTTAGACACCGCTCCATTTCCAGAGTTTCTAGATTCTCGGTGATCAAGTTTTGCCAAGTTCCGAGCTGAAACAACTGTCACCGAGAAGATGCCCCCTACTGCCTTTTTTTTCAGATCCACGGCAGGCAGACATAAGATTCTTCTCCGAGGCTCCACCATTGTACGAGTGAGCGTATCAACGAGTAACATCTCCTGTTGCCATTTCGACACAGTGTTAGAAACAAGACAATCTCTTATTCTAGAACCAAAGGAATGAATACATTTTCTGTTGCTTCCAATAAAAACACAAAAACTGACGTACAAACTAAGATATCGATATACTAACCAGCCAAGATGAAATGAAAGGAAGCTCTGTTTGAGGAATAGCATTAGCGCCACTGCCGAAGACCAAGCCTATCCTAACTTCAGGGGTATTTGCAAACGAAAAGAGCACAGCTTGTCCATCCAGAACAGGTAGTAAGCGTAGCTGGACATCAGAACCCAGTGAAGTTGTTAGCTCACCTACGGAAAGAGTAACAAAATTCAGGTGCTCTTATAATGAAAATCAATTCTCACTTGCAATTGCAGAAAAAATTATCAAGTGTCTTCATAACACGTCTAATTCGTTACATACATCACTCATTTGAGATTATTTAGTGTGAATATAATCACAGGATATATCATGAATACATACATCACCCTTAACATGGATACTGTTAACGACGATGCGAGCGGTTTTCCCCCGTAAAGGTCCCCCCAATTTGGCGGAAATCAGCACGCTCATCTCCGTAGTATCCCACTCAAAACCCATATTTAACACCGGCTGTCAAATAAAACCAGAACATGAACTCAGAAAATAGTATGCGGTCGAAAAGCATGACGAACTAGCAAGCACAAAAACAATACGTGACATATTCAGATGCAGTTGCTCCAATGTAAAATCCTTTCCTTAAAATAGAACTTCGATAAATTACTCCCATAGCTTCAAGAGAAGCAATTATGAGAAAATACCTGCTTGCCGTCTATCGACCAGTACGCCCCCTGAAGCCCAAACATAGGGGGGGCTGTTCCAAGTGAAAACTCCTCCACTTCCATACTTAACTGTAAAATAAAAAGTATGCAATAAGTTATCTGGCCGTATCGGCTCCATTGCATCCCAAGTAACACCACTAGACAAGACGAACAATCAATGCTCTAGATCAATACTAGCACCCTACTAGGAGCAAAACTACCCGCTGCTGAAACTAAACATAAACAAGCCATGATTTTTCTCTTCGTCTTGAAAATCTGGTATTAAAAGTGGAAACAGCCAGGAATATGGAACATTCCGTGCAAACCGAGCTTCCTAATCCACTCCACAAACCAGAACAGGCATTGGAAGAACATATCCATGTTGGTCAGAACTTACGATAAGTTTTGGCTTTTTCTCTCCCAACCGTTTCTGCACATCACAGCCATCCCGAAGATCCCACACGAGATAAAGAATTGTAAGTAATCAATACTTCGAACTTGTTTGAAAACAAACTAATAAGACTCAGCGTTCGAAGGAAGTGAAAGGATCCTTCAAAAGTGAACAGGCTAATTTGATTCTCGATGGTACCACAAAGTACGATGGACTCACGTGAGTTGATAACAACAGACACACCGCAGTTCGAGTCCAATGGCAACAGCAACAACACTTCTTATAACAACTTGGCCATGGATGATAACCTGAGCAATATGAGAAAGCCTCCGAACAATCTTGGGCTCCATGAAGTTAGGCCAAACATTCATCAGCATCTTGTTGAGCCATTCACAGGGCTCAATAGGTGTACTTGGCTGGCTCCAAAGAAACACTTTGTAAATGAAGATGTTACATCTAGAACGGATTCAGGTTCGCATAACTATTCCATATAGAATTGGATGGTCCTTGAAGCATTTCTTAGAACAAGACAATATCATCGACACAACCACGCTCTATTCATGTAACATAAGACACCTCAAGCATACTAACACATTTCAATGAAATTGATAATGAGCTGGTATGTCAAATCACACACCAACTCCCACATTATTATTTTTTTCCCCTGAGACCCATGAATTTAAGTGAATGGCACATAAGAATCAATCAGAAGGGAAGAGAAAATAACTTGGACAGGCACACGACAGTCAAACCTTGGTTCTGAAGTCCGTACAAACAAACCTGACTACAAAGTATATGCCGCCTCCATCGGTTATTCAAGCCTTCCACTTCACGTTCACGTCGGTGTTTTCCATACTGCACACATTGATTGCAAATCGAGGCTATGCCCATTGAAAACACGACTTTACAGTCATATCACAGCTTCAATCTCAACAGTGCCGATAATACTTGACTTACTTGAACCATTTTAAACCAAGTGACATGCAAAAACGTATTTTACGATAGAACTCTCCTGAATTCTATTGTCCAGGACTGAGATCATTGGGCTGTCGCAAACTTCTGTAAAATCGACTTAGTATCGAAATTATGTAAGGAGACAATGCCTTGAACGCCTCCGCAACGAATTCGAATTGAAAAACTATCATCTTTCGTCACTCTAACTAGCATTCGAAATTGAACATAGATGACTACTATCGCACTTTCTTAGACAACACCATCTAAATTCACCATTTAAATATTGACAGTAGCTACCCTACTCAAGCAAATAGCCTGGCGAGCATGATGAGAATACGTTCGCTTCGAGCGTAGCTCAGGAATGGCATCGTCTTCTGCCATTCTGTGAATCCAAAAGAAATCTAATAGGCCGAAAGGTTTTTAACACAGCGTTGAATTTTATAAAAATGAATTTATCGATTGAGAGTACCAACGGTGATTGAGAACACTGGATCTGGAAGAACCTACCTGAAGAGTAACCCAGACGGTAACAAACACGGGAACCCAATTGGAGAAGGATATTAGCCAGCGCTCCAAAATCCACGCCAGGAGGAAGATGGGGATTAAATAGGGCAACTCCGGCTTCTCATGACGAAGATGTTCCCAGAGGTCCTTTGCTTCCTTAGCTACCCCATCTACCAGCTTCTTCTTCGCCATTGTGACCTGATTACCTTCATCCACTATTCGAGACCAAATAGATTTGTCTGACCTAGACAAAAGGTGTTACAACGAGCCTCAGTCCAGCACGAGCTCGCACATTTACATGTGCATCTAGATACTCGTAAACCCTGCCTCCGAGCACTCCACGATTTCAGTGGATCTTTTCCTCCAAGCAATTACGCGGCATCACTTTAGAAGCCCGAAATTCACCTTTTCCTAGAATGGGTGCTAACAGCGAGATCTCAATGCCAGACGATGCAGCTGTCCTCGAGCAGCTGAACCGGTTGCAATCTCTCCATTGCTGCAATAGTGTACTAAGAAATACACTGTGTACGAAGAAATCACAAAATCAGATAATCACCCTCCACAAGGTAATCGGTAATATTAAACCTCGGGAAAAAAAAAGTTCTAAAACTCTAAAACAAAATAAAAACAAAGCAGAAATTCGGCTCTCCTTTACACAAACCCCAGATCACACAATCCACCGCCTGGAAAAAGACACAAAGCTACATCTGCAAAAATCTCAGAGTAACGCTACTCTCAAATGAAGACCAGAAAAGCACGTCCTCCTCACCCCACCTCCAAGAAACTCAACACTACACCACTACAATCACCACTTGATAATCCCACGAGCTTGCGCTTCGATACCCACTTCAGATCTAACCCTCCATCCGGACCCGAATAGCCCAAACCCAACAAAACCCGGAAATATCTTGTGACGCTCTTGAGCGCCCTCCCTCACACTCGGCAACCACACAAGTATGAATGTGGAGCTAGGAATTGAATACCCGCGATAACGATCATCCAAGAGTGTAATCACCCACTGGCATTATTTTATTCTATTCTGAAACAAGAATTCTGCCCAGTGGGGAGAATATGCTACCACCACAAAGCTCAAGCATCTCATCATCCCCCCAACACAGAATTAAACCCGACTCAGAATTCCACCAATTCAAAGACCTCCAACACAGCAAAGTCCACGAGAAGCAGAGGCAGAAGAAAAAAAAGGGAGATAGGAAAGGATTCTCAACGCCACCAGCACGCAGCAAGTGAGGTGGTGCGGAGTGGTACCGTACCCCGAGCGTTTCAAGTGCAGGTGGCAATCTACACCAACTACCACAATAGCTTCTACTACTACTACCACTACGACTTCACCCAGCCGTGCGTGGGTTGTTTCTCCGGCACATCCTGCCTCCTTTGTGGGGGGATCTTACACATTGTGTGTGAGTGTGCAATGGACTGAGCGTGCGAGTGCGAGTGAGAATGTTGATGGCGTGATTCACATCGCAAGACTCGAATGGGGCCATGGCGTTGAATCATGCTCGCTACCACGCAATCATCCAAGCAACCATCCAAGCAACCATCCAAGCAACCAACCACGCAACCATCCATGAACCAAGCAACCAACCAAGCGACTAACCAAGCAGGGGGGGGTGAAAGGCACCCGCAGCCCTAGGATGGGGCACTACTGTCCCCGTCTAACCGAGGGGCGGGGACTAATCTTTTGGATGAATATGTTTGGATGGATGTTGAGTAGCCAATGAATAGTGCAGCGCTTTCGAGCACCATTGCTGACATTCTGCACGTGTGTGTGTGTGTGTGTGTTTCTGGTTTGATAAGGGACCCACTTTTCTTTTTTACCATTCCATTGGCACTTATTGTTGTTGTTGTTGTAGTAGTAGGATTTGCCACTTGTGAGATGTTCTCTCTTGATTTGGAGCTTGTTCTGTGGGATGGATGGAATCATGCTTTTTTAAGTTTTATTGTTTATTTAGATTTATTTGTTTGTTTCAAGTTGTGTCACATGTGTTCTATTTTCTGTGGTGCATGGGCATCAAGAGTGCTGTTGTGTGTGAGATTCTTCTTTTGCATGTGTTTTCTATTCTGTTTGGTACTCAATTCATGGCGAACAGTCTGGTGGAATTGTTATTATAGTGTCAAGGACCTTGGTCTTAGATTGGCTGGAAAAATGAAGAATAAGAATTTTAATGTATCTACACAATCTCTCGTATATATATATATATATATATATATTTATATATACATACAATGATGCTAAACTCAAACCACTTAACATATTTTTCAAACACATGAGAACATTGCATTTAATAATAAAAACAAGATGTTTCAAATAATGCTGTTTGCCATGTTTGATGCACAATGTACATCAATAAACAATTTAAAAATAGTTCACTACTTATCACTTCAAAAAAAAATTTGATTATTATTAAAATAGTTGTTTAATTAGATGTTAAATATAAATCACATAGTGATTTATTTATTTATTTATATATAACTCTGCAATTTCATTATTTGTTACTAATATTTTAATAATAAATTATTAGAATAAAATATTAGTTATATTTTATGTGTATAATACATTAGATAATATCAAAAATCTATTTTCAATAAATTATATATTAATTTCAGTGGTTTTTTTGTACACGACTACACAATTTATTCCTACGTATGTATGTAGATGTTTGTATACATCTGTAAACATAGGCATACATGTGTAAAAGCATCTACAAAAAACAAAAATAAATGTATGAATAATGAGAATATATTCGAGATTTTCATTTTAATGAGAGTTCATAATTAAGATGCAGCAAAGTGATCAAATGGAAATGTAAAAAATCTAACTTTGAAAAATTTATGATTGCTTTACTTTTTAAAGGATTATCGAATTTATGAGACTAAAAAACGTGCAAAATCACCAACAATAAACCTCCAAAACTTAGACACAATTTATGAACCTACTTCACATGGAACTAACCCAATTCATTTTAAACAGTGAGATTAAAAGACACTTGCTGTGCATGCTCTACATTTTGATAATCTACCATTTGAGTATGCTCTACACTTCAGAAACATAGTATAAAGTAGTAATAATAAAGATAAATAAATAAATAACCCAATCACTGTAAAACACAAACTATGACGATCACATAGAGAACTTTAATCCTAATTTTAATGTAAAACTATGTTCAACACACACATTCACATATTTAGCTTCTCCTTGTATGCCACCCTTGTGTTTGATAAAAATGCTTGGTTGTAACCAAATGTCTTAAAAATTTAGAATAAAAAACTTAGATTTAACCAGATAAAATTTAAAAATTATTCAAAAAATCAAGTTATATCTCCAATGTCTTTGCTACTTGATTTCAATCCATCATTAATAATTTACATGGCTACTGAAACTTTTTGTCAAAAATCCAAATCATGTGTATGTGTATTCTTTAACAATTTATTTTAGAAAAATATATATACATATTAAAAATTGTATTTAATTTATGGGGTATTAAAATCATTCTAGTAATTAATACTGTATATAACTATTTTACATGTTGTTACTCTTAGAAAAGCCTATTGTGAATTTAATGATTAAAATATCATATTTCATTTTAATTAAAAATATTACTCTTGAAGTTCTGTTATATAATTAATAATATGGAACTACAAATTACTCATAAAAAACCAAATTAAAAATATAAGCGTCTTAATATTTATTTAAATTCAAAATATTATTTGCAAATTGACTGTTTGTACAATTCGACACATAAATACACTGGTTAATTTTTTTGATCTTTGTTAATCATGTAATAGTAATACAAAATTAAAAATTATTGTGTATACGTATATATATACACATAAAATCATAAACTTATATCTTCTTCATTTTAATAACTTTAAAAATGTGCACAAATGAGTTTGTGGTTATGAGCATTCATTCACCCATACATTTATATTATAAAAATCATTTAGAAGCCAAATAAAATCAATTTATTTAATGAAATTTACTTTCAATAATTTTATTTGATTTTATTTGAAATTTTCAATTCGAAAAAAATCTGAATATCTGGATTTTATTAATAGAAGATACACTTTTATTAAATTATTTTAAAAATATAATTATAAGATACATCAATCTGATGCATCAAAATTACATCAAATACCTATATTTTAATTTGGGATTTACATGATATAGGTACTCATAAAAAATAAAAATACAAATAAAAACAAAACAAAACAAAGCATAAAAAACATCAAAAACAAAATCCATTATATCTTCAGAAGTTGTAATTATAAAATTATGACTGAATTTTTATTTATTTTTGAAATTATTTAATTTGAATCTATTGAAAACTTGCAAAAATAGTTAAAATATGCATCCACTTAAACAAATAATGTATATTGATAATTTACAACATTCAGTGATTTGATATGAAAAATTAAATGATGATAGTCATTTTAACAACAATAGAATCTGCTAAATGTAATGTAATGCACAGAATTTGGAAAATAAAAATTCTATTTAAATAGCGAACACAATTATCAAATGTTTGTGAAAAAATTTCTCTGTCCGATATATATATATATATATATATATATAAGTCTAAAAGAACACCAAATGCTGCACCTTTTCCGATTTTTATTTTTTTATTTTTTCTCATTTGCAATTTATGAAACCTCCACGCTCAATGAATTTTCATCATCGTAGTTCACTGCACTGAAGAATTCTACCATCCTACGAGGCTTCACTGGCAACACCGACATCTTCACAACACATCTTTCAACAGCACCCATTCATTGTCATCTTGCAACTGCTGGTGAAATCAAGTATCCTGATTTTGTTGGTATTACTCGTATGTCAACCCTCTTGTTTTCAGCGAGACCTTCAATAATGCTTGCAGGTCATGGCAAGCATGGAACCAAGGTAAAGAATGTGGAAAAAAAGTGCAACATCTGCTGCTGTCTTGCAAAAAACATACATGAATGAGCCGGCAAAGATCAAGGCACGGGCGGTAGCTGAGGGCTACCCATCTGGATATCTTTATTATGTGCATAGTACGCCAATTCTTCCAAAAACTTTATCCAGTTGCAAAAATATAATCTTAAAAACGATTGCCGGGGGTGAGAGTTTTGTTGGAGGTAGCGTGATACTCCGCTGAGCTTGGAATTGAAAGGGAGCCAAAATTGATAGAAATACGGCAGAAACAGGCGATCGGTCATAGAAACTCTAGCGGCTACAAATCTTATGATACGTTGATGCAGGAGACAATACCTGGTCAGGTCGTCTCTTTCACATTCGAGAGATTCACACCGCCGTTCTCAACGTTCGATAGCTGCTAATCTCTCTACAGCCAGTCGTTGAGACTCCAACTTTTCCTTCTCGGTCGCTGAAGAATTATTCCGAGCCTGATCCGCAGCTTCAGATGCAAACTTTTCTCTCTTCTCTGCAATTTTCCAGTGCCGTTCGGCCTCCTCCATTCTCTTCAGGGCTTCGGCCATTCGCAGTTCAGCATGTTGTTTGTCTTGACGTGCTTTGTTCAGTGCCAATTGTCGTCTGCAAAGCCCACCCCCAACACAAAACAAACACACATTCCTCTCCAAAAACAGATCAAAAACATCAAAAACAAACAGATCTAAAACAGATCTAAATTTTTTGTCCCTTTATCTTTTACCTATGCTGTCGTGTATATATATATATATATATATATATTTACGTATATAACATTAAAAATTTAATAACAATAATAACACTTGTAATAAACTTTTTCAAACCATATCATTTCATGTCCATTTTTTGTAACTTTTTACAAAGTACTCTTTTGAGAACACAATAGTATTGTGACCATACAGTTTGAACCAACATAACAATTACATTTCTACTGGCTCAAAATTTTAAGATAAATCGTAGAATAATAATTTGATAACATTCAATTTTTACTTTTAACATTCTAAAATATTCTAGCCAAATTGACAATGTCCATAAACATGTATACAAGATGCTACCACAATAAAATCAAAGGTTATTTCCTTATGAATAACAATTGTACATGAATAGATATAAATGTAAAACCTATTATTTGATAGAATAAAAATAAAATAAAATAACAATGAGACATCATTCCATGTTGAGGAAGTTGTTTGGGTACTATAATTTACCACCATCACCAATACCACTTGATAGTCATGGAAGAACACGTGAAGAATAAAAAGAATAAGGAAGGTGTGGCCATAGAAAGAAGAGAGTTTAGAAATGATAGATGAATGATGTATGAATGTTGGATGGATGAATAAGTGTGGACATGGGTTGATGGAAATAAGGACTATGACTACCTTGTTAGATGTGTGTATATGTTCATTGTGCATTGCAAACCACACACCCACAATGATAATTGTTTTTTATTTTTATTTTTAAATAACATATTTTTTGGTGGA